CCTGCTGCTGTCCAGCTTGATCCATGTGCCCGGCTCCAGCAGGGCCTGGCAGCACGGCTTTAAAAGCACAGTGGGTTTGGGGAGGGGGGGATAAGCTGTTAAATTGCTCTGTGAAACCAGTCTGCAGTCCCTGGCACGGCTACATACCCCTTGGGCGGCAAGGAAGTCGCTTCGCTTGATGCCGGCTGCTTGGCCAGCCCTTCCAGCAGACTCTGGGTGCAAAGGTAGCCTATGGCTCCCTGTCCTGACATCCTTCCTGGACTGCCGTTTGTCTGGAAGGAGGTGCATCCTCTGGTAGTCAGGGACCGACAGCGCAGCGCTGAGCACGTTTTGCAGAGGCTTCTGTAAAGGGGAGCGTGTACCGCAGCCCTGGTCTAAATCCATGGCGCGTGAAGCTTTGTCTGCTCTATCCGGTAAATAAGTACCAACTGATGAACTTCTCAGAGGTGACCTCCCTGACATCGAAGCGCCAACCTGCTGTGATCAGGCAGCAGAGGAAGTATAGATGGGTTTCGGTTTCTGTAGCTGAATATATCAGCCCTAGCTCAGTCCCCTCCGCTGTTGAACCTGTGGCACAGCCTGCTTCCCTGCATGCACAAATACCTGGAGGTTTGGTTTTGAGGTTGTCATTAGTTAATTCTCATTTCATGTCAAACCCTGCACTAGAACAATCATGGAGGTACGGACCCCTCCTGCAGGGATTACTCACAGCAGGTCGAACATGCCCGGGCCTGGCAGGAGGACTGCATCTGCAGGCAGTGGTGGGAGGTCTGGAGAGGAGAAGGTTTGGTTCTGTTCTTCCTCTGACCCCACAGGAGCTGGTTCTCCAGCTGCGCACTGGGGTCTCGGCTTGCCCAACTGCTGGGTGGAAAGGAGCATGAGCGGACCCTGGGCATGGTCCCCAGCTGTGCCCACCCCTCAGCGGGTATAAACGTCTCTTAACTCCTACCATCTGGTTCTAGCTGTGCCATGACTTTGTGCCTCGGAGGCCTGTAGACAGGGCATCCTCATGCCAAGGGAAAATGAGGTCTGGAATGCAGTCTCTGCTACAGCATCGTTAAGCCTTGCTGTAGCCCCTGGCAAGGAACAAGCAGGCTGGACTTGGTGTCTTTCCAAGAGGCAAGGACAGTGTGGTTTGGGAGGAGAGTTTTCCCTAAATGCGCAGAGGTGTGGAAAAGCATTGGGATTTTTGATTTTTCCCTCTCTGTCCTGGAAAAGAGGATTTCTAGTGAAGCCATTAAGCCCCATGTAAACAAGGTTGTCTGCCAGATTGGCTGTATAACACCAAAATACCACAGGGCAGGTAGAGGCCTGCTTTGAAAGACAAAGCCAGCGAGAGCCTGCCCCAGCCCTAGAGTTCCTGGGACGGGTTCCCAGGACAGCAGAGCCCTGGCCTTGAGGCCAGGTGCTGCGGTGAGACCAGCAAACCCGACTGTTCATCGTCTGATGCCGGGGGGAGGGCTGGTATTCCTCAAGTCCTAATCAGTCCTCATCTCACCATCTCCTCCTCCCGTCCTAGTTTGTCGCCCAGCTGCTGGGGTTCCTGATCAGCGTGGTCAGCTCCATCTTCTGTGGTCACCTGGGGAAAGCGGAGCTGGATGCTGTGACGCTGGCCGTCTCTGTATGTATTACTCTGATTCTGCTCTATTTTAAAACATACAAATTATGTGTCACCAAAAAAAGAAGAAAAAACAAACAAACAAAACAAAACCAAACCTGTAGGAATGTATATGTGAGGACCCTCTGTGTAAGCACAGCCTGATGCAATGCAGACATCGCATCCACCAAACTGTTCTTTCTTTTGCCCTGAGCAAAGGCAGGAGATGGGAACCGAGCAGTCAGTGACTGTGCCAGTGCAAGGCCAGCACCTGGGCAGGGAGCTGGAGCCTGTGACCAGCTTTCTGGACTGCCAGGCCTAGGCGTGTGTGTGTGGCTAGGGACAGCACTATTTGTGGTCCTTTAGATATTCACCCCTTGCTAGAGGATCCTTTTCCACACGAGAGGGGAGAAGAGGCTATTTGGGTAACAAGAATATGTTATTCTGAGAAATAGAGAAGGGCTGGAAACTTCCCAAAAACTCGTAGCAGAACTGTCTCCCCACCCAGGTGGGAGGGACACAGTGCTTTGGGCCAGGTCCCCTGTCACCCTCCCTTGCAACCCAAGTCCCTTGTCTCTCCTCCAGGTTATCAACGTGACGGGCATCTCCATAGGTTCTGGTTTAGCCTCAGCATGCGACACACTGATGTCCCAGGTCAGTAGCAGCTCCCCCTTTCTTGTGCCTGACAGCGTTTGATTGGTAGCGTCTTGCCTCCTGTGCAGTGTGATCTGGGCACAAAGGGTGGGAGGTGGCACCTTCCAGCCAGCCTGGGGCTACAGATGCACTGACTGGAGCTTGCTCCCTCCCTGCAGCTCCCCCAAGGAGCCCTGGGTCGTGCCTGGGCAGCAAAGGGATGTGCAATCCACCTGAGAGCCAGTTAAACCTAACCAGCCTGGCACTAGCCACTGCAGGGTGTGGGAAATGCATTTAATCAGCCTGTTGCTGCCCTGAGTCCTGAGCATTTGCCCAGACCCTTTGGTTCCCTGTAACGCTCACCTTGGTCCTCTCTCCTGACTCAGACGTATGGCAGCAAGAACCTGAAGCAGGTGGGCACCATCCTGCAGCGGGGGATCCTCATCCTGCTGCTGTGCTGCTTCCCTTGCTGGGCGCTCTTCATCAACACCGAGCGGATCCTCCTGCTCATCCGACAGGACCCTGAGGTCTCCAGGTCGGTGGTGAGATCAAGCCCTTCTGGATCAGGCATTTGGCTGTGGGTAGCTTGCCATGTAGTGTTGAAATCAAGGCTCTGTGGACCTTGAGTGCAACACTGCTTGGCTTGGCTCTTGCTTCACTGTATCACTAACTGGGGAAACAATTCTCTTTCCAGGTTAACTCAGGTCTACGTGATGATCTTTATTCCAGCACTTCCTGTAAGTTGCTGCTAAAGCTGTTAGAAGCTCTGTATCCCTCAGTAACATTAGGGGAAAGGAGGGCAGGTCTTCGCTGTGTCCATCACAGCGCAGCATGGTTTAGGGTTTTGCAACATGCCCCTTGGTCTTGGGCCTTAACATGTGCATTGGCCAGCAGCTGCTGGACCAGCAAACATGCACTCTTTCACCTTACTGTGCAAAGGCTTTTACTGCAGGCCATGTCTCTGCACAACGCATAACTGGCAATGGACATTGGAATCAGGGGCTCTGGGGCTCACTCTTAGCTCTGAGATAAAGGCTGCAGCTTGCTGTTTGCACACACTCGTAGCTGCTGGGCTCTTGGCCAGTTACTCTGACTCCTCTAAGACAGGGAGCAGTACCCCTGGGGAATAAGGGTCTGTAGGTTAGTCCTTTCTTCCAGGGTTTCCAGGCTCTCTCATGCTGATGAGGAAACATAGGAGATTTGCCATTTGGAGACTGATCTCTCTTCCCAGTGGGAATGGGAGTTGCCTTTTGTTGCTCTTGGCTTTGGGTGCAGCCAGTGCTGGCAGATGCCACGCTTCAACCAGACCACAGGAGCAGGGTGTTGGGCAGCGTGCCTGGCTGGGGCACCCTGAGAAGGCGGTGCGGGGACCTGAGGGAAGGACCTACCTGTGAGCGTTGAATGGTAGCTGGCTGTTGAACCATAGTGCGGCAGTGCTGATGAAATGAATCCTGACTTTTGCAGGCGGCGTTTCTGTACCAGCTGCAGACAAGATATTTACTGAGTCAGGTATTGTATAACTAGCCAGGTTCTGGGCCATAGATTAAAGGTATTCCTAGGAACATGTATAAACTTGGGGAGCTAAGTTCATCCTGTTCTGGGGAGAGCTGGGCTGAGGAATGTGTGATGCACAGCCCCCCAGCTGGCCCTGCAGAGCAGGGAGAGCTCATGGGAATCACACTTAGTTTGCTCCGTTTCCCCATTGCTTCCTCTCAACTCTGCATTTTATTGATTGCACCAGCTCTTGAGCCCCTCATGCTACCTTCTGCATGCCTAACACGATCCAGCTTTACCTGAAACAGGAGCTGCCTTCTTGGCTTTCGCCTTGGGTGTTGCTGAAGGTCTCCCCTGTGTTTGCTGGATGGGGCTTGGGCAGTGCTGGGGAAGCAAACTCCAAAGTCTCTCCTTGGCTTCCAGGCGATCATTTTGCCTCAGGTGTTGACGGGGATTGCAGCCAACATCCTCAATGTGGCCATGAACGCCTTCTTCCTATACGCGCTGAAGCTGGGCATGGTGTAAGTGTGAGCAGAGGTGTGGCAGCCTCTCTCTGGGTGCAGGGGTTTGCTCAGGGCTGTGGGGTGTGTCCTCGGTGCCCAGTTCTGCCACCCTCTGCCCCCAGCCAACTGGCCTGCAAGATAGGGCTGGAGGGATCTGCCTCATATCTGCAGCAAGGCTTGTATGGGTGCCACCATGGGTGCTGTAGCTGAGGAGGTTGGGGAGGATGTAACTTCTAATCTGCCTGTCTCTCTCCCCAGGGGCTCTGCCTGGGCTAACACTGTTTCTCAGTACACCCAGGCCATTCTCCTCTTCCTTTACGTGTGGTGGAAGAAGATCCATGTGGAGACCTGGGGAGGTACTGTTCATAGCTTAATTCTCCAAAATACCAGTGTCTGGCCCTGGGGATTTGGCACTGTCACCAGCACCTGAGAAAGGGATTACCATCCCCTCACAGCAGGAAGATACTGTAGCCATGTTCTCAAGGCCTTTACTGTAGCTCCAAGCACATTCTTGTTGATCATCCTGTCTCAGGAATGCAGCATGGTACAGCAGCAAGACTAGGCTGATGTCCTGTGAGCTGCAATGGTGATTGTCCTCAGCAAGTGTCCAGAAAAGCATATGGCTCCCTTTTGGGGGAGGAGAGGGAGAACATGCATTCATTTTGCTTCACTTCCTCATCGCAGGTTGGACCAGGGACTGCCTCCTGGACTGGGGCTCCTTCATCAGGCTGGCGGTGCCCGGCATGCTCATGATGTGTATTGAATGGTGGACCTTTGAGATCGGGAGCTTCTTGGCAGGCGAGTCCAAATCCTCTTTTTCCTCTGGTTCAACAGGTCATCTTCCAGCCGCACCTGCTCTGGTGGCTGCCTCTTGAGTGTGTCCCTAGAGCACCTCCTGCCAGCAGCCTCCTCGCCTGCAGGGTTGGTTCTGCAGGATGCTGCGTCTGTTAGATGGGAACCCTGTAGTCACTGTCTCCTTGTCAGCAAAGGAGCAGTTTAATTCTGACCTAATGAAGGAAGTGATGAATCTTTTCCAGGGCTGCTCAGTGTGGTGGAGCTGGGTGCACAGTCTGTCATCTATGAGCTCTCCTCTGCGGCATACATGGTAAGGGCTGGGTGTATTAAATCAGCCTGGGAGGAGCCCCCAAACAATGGCCCTGCAGATCAAGGCTGGGGAGGGAAGCAGGAGTTGCTACCAGGCAGGTGATGAATCTCAGGCCTGCTGTGCAGCTGCACACCCAGGGGTGGGCTGCAGATGGAAAAAACCCTTTACTACAGCAATGCTAGTTTGCCCCAAATTCCCTGGTGGGGAAGAAGAAAATTGCTGCATGCTCTATTACCACTCACCTCCTCCTTGTCTCCTGCTACTCAGGTGCCTCTGGGCTTCAGCGTGGCTGCAAGTGTCAGAGTGGGCAATGCCTTGGGATCGGGGGATGTGATGCAAGCCAAGACCTCCTGTATTACTGCCCTGCTGTGCACAGGTCAGCCCAGGTCCTGTACAGGGGAATAAAGGAGCAGGACTTGCTGCCCTTGAGGCAAGCAATTTCACTATTTCTTTTTCTTTCAGGAGTTTTTGCTGTGGTGGTTGCAACGTTACTGGGAACCCTAAAGGACGTGGTGGGATACATCTTCACCAATGACAAGTGGGTTAACAGCTTGCTTTTGAGCATTATTACCTTCTTGGAGGGTGTGATTTATATCCCAGGAGCTGCTCAGAAGCTGCTGACAGATAGAGTTCATAAACCTCCATCTGGCAAACATGTTCCCCAAAGGTTCCTCCCCGCTGCCCGGTGTCACTGGGCAGCACGGGTGCTGCTGACACTGGGACACTACCATGGTGGTACCCAAGCATCCCCTCAAGTCTCATGGGCTGGGATCAGGCTTTGCAGCTGGCCAAGGGAGATATGTCAGAACCAGAGTCCCTTGGGAGCAGGCCGTGCTTTCCCTGACCAGTACATACGTCTTCCCAACAGGGAGATCGTTACCTTGGTGTCCAAAGTGATGATCATCTTTGCTCCGTTCCACTTGCTTGATGCAGCAGCAGTGAGTATTCCAGTATGTGGAGCGATTCCTTTCTGCAGGTTGGGGTGCGATGGAGAGTGCAAAGCTGCCTCTAACTCTTGATCTGTTAAAATGATACAGAGAAGCAAACTGATAAACTGTCAAAGCAGCTGCTGCATTACCTATAGCACCTCAGCGTCCCCTGCACTTGTAGTTGCCCATTGGTGTTGCTGCAGAACAACCCAGTTCTTTCTCCTTCTTCCCCCTGGCAAGGCTTCAGCTTTTTACTAGCTTGTCAGAGCAGCAAAAGTTAGCAGCTGGACCTTCAGAGACATCAGCTACTCACAGCATAGCAGCAGTGTTCATCATACCATTTGTTAGATAGTGATTGCAGCCTGTTTCCTCCTGTCATGTCCCTGGGAGAGGGACCCAGGCAGTGTGGAAAGCACTATGCGGTCCGCTGGCACACCTCTCGGTGTCCGCAGACAGCTCCACATTCTGCGCCAGGGTTGGCAGCTGGAACAAGAGGAGCCCCGCACCGTGCGCTCTGTGATGTGGCTTTGGTCCCTCTTGGCTCTGCGGGACAGTGCTGTGGGTTCCCCTGTTCACAGGGCCGTGCCGTACCCCAGAGCTCCTGTGGTGGTACCTTCCATAGCACGCACTGTCCCATGTATTGATCCCTCTGCCTGCTTTCCTTAGGCGACCTGTGGCGGCGTGCTGCGGGGCACAGGGAAGCAGAAGATGGGTGCTATCGCCAACGCCATCGGCTATTATGCCATCGGCCTGCCCGTTGGCATCTCACTGATGTTTGCGGCTAAGATGGGGGTGTTAGGTATGTGTGTCCTCCATTTGGCATTGGGAGTCTGGCTACGTACGAGCTGCCAGCCCTGCTTTTCTGCTGGGCCAAACCCTGTGCTTGAGCAAAGGTTCAGCCCTGGCACTGGTGCTCAGATCCTCCTTCACCTTGGCAGGGCTGGATTGTGCACTGAAGTGTTTATCTGAGGCAGGCTCTGAGTAGCCTCCATCAAATGGGGGCTGAGATGTCCCAGTAAATCCAGGCTTGCTCGCTCCCAGTGTAGGACCTCCCCAGGAGCCATTTCCTCTCACTGCCCCTCAGGGCAGCTCTCCAGGGCAATAATCTGACCCCACTAAAGTCCTCGGGCATTTTGGCAGTGGCTGGCAAAAGCAGGCTTTCCTCAGGCCCTCCCTGAAGTAACTTTTCCATTGCTGCAGGTCTGTGGGTGGGGATGATCATTTGCATCTCTTTGCAAGCCCTTTCCTTCTTGGCTTTTGTCATGCGCATGGATTGGAAGAAAGCTGCAGAAGAGGTGAGACTTGTGTTTCTCTCTAGTAACTCTTAAAAGGTGTTAGGTGAGTTCCTGTACAATGCCACAGCCCTCTGGGAGGAGGCAAAAGTGAAATGGGATCTGTCCCTCTGCTGTAGCGAAGGAGCAATTTGGTGCTGAGCATGCTTGCTTTGGGAGAGTGGAGGGAGGAGGCTCAGGTTTGCTTGGTTGGGCAGGACATCCTTGCTCTGAGAAGAGCAACTCTTCCGTGTGTTTTTAGGCTCAAGTCCGAGCTGGACTGAAAAAACAACTGGAAGATGTGAACTCCAATGGCACAGCTGCTAACAAAACATCTGCTGTGGGTACGTAACCGGGCCTGACAACAGGGAGGGAGCCCAAATTCTCCACCCAACCCTTCCTTTCCTTCACAGTCATGGCAGCCGTGTCTGTCCTGCAGGCCCTGATGGCTGGAAAGAGCACAGTGTCTGCTGCTGGTCCCAGGACAGTGCCACTTCTCTTGTAGTTAGTAATGGGGTACAAGAAACTCTGTTACCCCTGTCACCACCCTGGCTGCTCCAGGGAAGAGCCTGCGCTGCCAGCCAGCATCTGCCTTACCTGGGAACACCTGCCACTTTGCTGCAGCATGTCCCCGTGTCCCTGAGCCTTGGGAAAGGACCCTCAGGACTGTCACCAGCACTTGTGCAGCATCAGATTGGGATCCCCTGACTTTGCAGCTCAGCTCCCCTGCAGCACTCACATTTCTGTTACGCAGATTACATCTCCGTTGACACGGACACCGTGGACACTGTAGTCCTGCCTGAGAGCATCGTGGGAGGTGAGAGGCAACCTGACCACCAGCTCATCACACAGGAGGAGCCTGCTGTCGTCCCTGCTCCTCCCACTGTGGTATGGAGGGCCCTGATCATCCGCCGTGTGCTGGCTGCTGCTGCTGCCATCGCTGTCCTGCTGGTGGGCATACTGGTCCGGCTCCTGACCGGCAATGGCTAAAACCAGTGGCACTAGGGAGCTGTGCACAGAGCAGGAGGGCACGTAGTGTCCCAGGAGAATGGTGCAGGGGAAGGAATTCCCTCTCAGTTCCTTGTAAAGAGTCACTTTGCTCAGTTTCCAGTTAGCTCACAATGTTTTATCCCACACACAGAGTTCTTAAAGAGGGTGAGGATATGGCACCTGGAAAGAAAGTGCTTGAGAGCTGGTCCCTCTCCTGCACTGCACCGGGATGTCACTCATGGCAGGCGGGATTGTATCCTGGGGCTCACCAGGAAGGAGACAGGGACTTTGTGCTGCTGCCCTGCTTCCTACTCCCCGGGGGCATTTCTCCACGTCGTTTGCAGAGGCTCTTGCTGCCCACAGCGTGTATCCTTGCACACCAGTCTGTGTGCTGGCATGGCAGAGCCCACTCGCTACCGCTGCGGCAGCGCAGAGCAAGGCTGACTTTGTTGGAAGATGGCTGACTCCTCTAACTGCTGCCAGGGCATTGGGTGTTGGCTGCTGGTCCTGCTCTCCCTGCTGCGTGGCAGGTACAGGGCCTAAAGCAACTCTTCTTTGCACTTTTGTAAGGTGGGATTTTTGATACAATAAAGTTTTCTGTGTAAATGTTGGGCTGTTAGTGTGGTGTGAGCGTGACCCCGGTCATTGGCATGATTAAGCTGTTAGAGGGGGGACATGTGCCTGGTTTGTGCAGTGTGGTGGGCTTGCACAGGGCATAGCCTCAGCCTCCTGGCCCTGCAGATGGGGCTCGCAGTGGGTGCAGCGGTAGCCAGGGGCTTGTTTTAGCTGGGCTTACAGAGCACACCGCTCCCACAGGTACAAGCAGGGTTTGTGCACCTTAATTGCTCTCACACCGTTGCTGAGCCGTATGGGAGAGTGTGGTATGGTGCACAACCCTACAGAGCCGTCAAGGAACTGCTATATGTCTTAATGCAAATGCCCCAGCACTGCCTGCCCGCCCCAGCCCTCAGGACCTGTCCCAGGCTCTTACCTGCAGCTGTGTGACAGCAGCGAAGCCACTGCCTCTGTGGGATGGCATATGCTCAGCCATTGGAGGTGAACGCCACATACAGCCGGTGCACAGCACCTCTTTGCCACCCCACAACTCTTCTGACACCTGGCGCTGGTTGCCTGTGGGTTGGGAATGAAAAGATGTGACATAAAGGAGCTTGAAACAGCCATCAGCCCTGACCTCAGCAGCCTCTGCCCAGATGTGGGGAGGATGTGGCAGACTCTGCCCTGCTCAGAGTCCAGGTAGTTTTGGGATGGGAGGCTGGAGAGAGGAGGAAGCCTGCCTTGCTCTGCCCTGCGGGCTACCCCATCCCACCGGAGCTCACCGCCCGCTCTGTGCAGGAAAGGGTCTGCATGGCAGTAGCAGCTCCCCTCCGCCTCCCCTGCCCTGTGGTGGGCCAAGGCAGGATGCTATATTTGGCCTGGCGGAGTGGTGCCGGTGAAACCTGACGCTGCCGCGCTGTGCAAGGCTGACAGCTGGAGCCAATGGGGCTGGCTTGTCTTGGCCACCGCCGTGCTGTGATGAGAGGGGCCGAGATGGGCAGTGGCCCCGCCACTGCCGGCAGCAGCTCACGGGAGACTGCACACAGACCCATGAATCCTCCATCGCTGCTAGAAGAGGAGGACGACCCTCCAGCCCACCAGCTGACAGAGCTGCGGCAAAGCAGGAGAGAGGTAGGAGGGCTCACAGGAGCGATTTGGGAAGACTCAGTCCCTACGCTGGCTCGGGGCAGGCAGCAAGCACCTTGCGCCGCACGTCCGGGCTCATCAGCGCTGCCCGCAGCGGTGCACAGGACCCAGCTCTGTGCCCTGCCCTGACCCATTGCCCGCACTTCCCATTGCCAACCCCGCTGCCGGCAGCAGGGAGCATGCGGTCAGCTCGCCTGGCCCCGGCTGAAGTTCACCCCACTGTGGTTACACATTGCTCACCCTGGCAGGGTGGTTTTAACAGAGTGCAGAGGAAGAGGGTTGTTTCACTCCCCTGGCAGAGCAGCAGCATGAAGCAGGCAAACCTCCCCGAGGAGAATGGCTTCAATGAGGCAATGGCCGCTGGTCAGCACACTCGCACACCCGGCAGCTGCGGGAAGAAACGCCGCTGGCTTCAGCGCCTTGTCCCGGACAACTTCTGGGAGGATGCAAAGAAGCTGCTGGTGCTGGCAGGGCCACTGGTAAGGACCCGGGAGGAGAGTGCTGGGATGTTGGGGCGGCTGCAACTGTGGGCACCCTGGGGAGTGGGTGGATGAGACATGAGACCTCCAACAGCTCCCAGAGAAGACGGACTCGGAGTGCTGCTAAACACCTGGCAAAGGGCTCAAAACCTCGGATCAGCTTCACCTGATGTGTCGGGGGGATGGGGTTTCTTGACTGGTTATATGCACTCAGCTGGACGCGTACAGCTTCCCCTCCCATCCTGTGCTCTGGCCTGGAGGTCTCCCCCCAGCACGGATGCCTCTGCTCACCTCCGTCTCTGACCTTCGCCTCTCCTCTTCCCCACATTTAGATCCTGATCCAGCTGCTGATCTTCCTGATACACCTCGTCAGCTCCATATTCTGCGGCCATCTGGGCAAGGTTGAGCTGGCCTCCGTCACACTGGCCATTGCTGTAAGCATTCCCGGGGGCTGCCCCAGCACCAGCTCCCACCCGCTGACGCTGGGACGGGATACGGGAATGGAGGCGGACAAGGACAGAGGAGATTTCAGACTCCCATTTTTCCTTTTAGACCCTCTCCCTACCTAGAAGTCTTAAATGCTCATATGCTTTTTTTTTTTTTTTTCCCCTCCAATCTCCTGTTTCCAGGTTATAAATGTTACTGCCATCTCTGTAGGTTATGGTTTGTCTTCGGCGTGTGACACCTTGATATCACAGGTGGGTAAGAGATGCTGGTGCTTGTCCTGGAGATGCGGGGGTTTCCGACATCAGCTGATGCTGCCCAGGCACTGCATTGCACCCCAGCTGCACCTGCAACCTGGAAGCTTGTCCCCCATAACGGGGAGCTCCGTGCTCCCCTTAAAATACCAAATCCTTCTCCAGTGGTCTGTGGGGTGGTCAGGGCTGCTCCATGCTCTGTGGGGTCCCTGTCCTCCCAGGACCAGTGCACTGCCAGTGCAGCTGAGCTCACGCTCCTCTCGCCTTGTAGACCTATGGCAGCAAGAACCTGCTGCGCGTGGGGGTAATCCTGCAGCGTGCCACCCTCATCCTCCTGCTCTGCTGCTTCCCCTGCTGTGCCATCCTCATCAACATTGAGCAGCTCCTGCTCCTCATCCACCAGGACCCCGAGGTCTCCAGGTCAGGTGGTCCTGTGGCCCAGACACCACTGCCTCCTCCCTCCCTGGCATGGCAGGGGGGACGGACGGACGGTGTGGGGACAGTGGCCACGGCTCCTCGCTGACCGTACCTCTTGCGTCCCCCAGGTTAACTCAGCGCTACGTGATGGCGTTTGTCCCTGCTCTTCCAGTGAGTCCCTGTGAGCACCTTGGATGCTGGCCCATGCATGGGGACCGGCCATCCTGCTCCTATTTCCCACTGCAGCAGCACAACCCCTGCTCAGCGCTGGCCTCATCTCATCCACCAATTTCCTTTTCAGGCGGTTTTTCTGTATAACCTGGAGACAAGATACCTGCAGAACCAGGTGGGTCCTGCAGCCCTCGCACCCACGGAGGGTCAGCCCCGGCTCAGGGCTCCCCTCGACCACGCACACAGGGTTTTTGTGCTCACTGTTCCCAGTGGCAATGCAGCGTTTATCCCCGTCGTTGCCTGTGTGCCCTGGAGCAGCTCTGACCCTGGAGATCACCTCATCCTACAGCCAGCTGTATCCATCTGCCTGATGGACCTCCCTTCATGCTTCCCCATGTCAGGGATTTACCTCCAACGCATTCATTTTCCAAGCAAGCAACATCATCAGAAGTTTATTTTTTGGCTGAGAAAGCTGTTGAGCATGGGCTGGTTGGGGACCTTCACACTTCTCTTCCAAAGCTTTTGTGAAGGTGCCATAGCCCTCATCTCCTCCTCTTTGCAGATGATCATGTGGCCGCTGGTGCTGAGCGGGATTGTTGGCAACGTCGTCAACGTGATCGTAAACTACATCTTCCTCTACGTGCTCCACTTGGGCATTGTGTGAGTAGCGCCCGTGTCCCATGGAGGGAAAAACACAACACCTGGCAATGGCAAGGGACTTTTCCAGGACGTTGGCACCACCAAGTGCAGACGAGCATCTGGCACTCGTGGGGGCATGGCAGGATGTTACGCTCTGGCACCCTGAGCCAGAGCAGGATGCTGACGACCTTTCTCATTTCCTTTGCAGGGGCTCTGCCTGGGCCAACACCGTTGCTCAGTATTCACAAGCCATTTTCTTGTTCCTGTATATTATAGGCAAGAAACTCCACGTAAAGACCTGGGGAGGTAAGGGCATCTCCCCAGCTCCCTCCAGGTCCCGCTTTACATGAGTGTTCATGAATCTTCCACCCCTTCTATCAAGTAAATTCTGTTAGTCCTGACGGTGAAATATTAACCTCAGCCCAGTATGCCCCGGCAACGCGGTGCTGCTTCGGTGGCAGCACGTCATGCGCGAGCATTGGCAGAGCACTGCAATGGGCAGTAAACATTAATTCTGGAGAAATGAAACTTTCTGCTGAGGCTTTGTAGGGTTCAGGCCCGAAGCCAGGTGAGCACAGACGTAGGTACGAAGTTGTCCTTAGACGCTCTGCTCTGGGAGGGATGAGCTGAGCGTTGTACTGCTCTGCGGCCCACAGGATGGCATCAGCAGAGCTTGTACATGCACGCTCTGCTGCTGGAGGTCTAAGGAGCTGAGGAGCATTGCCCTGGTAGCTCTGCAAACAGGAATGGCACCTCCAGCTGCCTCAGGTGCTCTCGAGGATGTAACACATGGCCAGTCTGGTCATCCATCAGGTGAGGTTTCTCCTCTCTGCAGGCTGGTCCAGCGAGTGCCTGCAGGAGTGGGACAGCTTCATCTCCTTGGCTGTCCCCAGCA